AACTGATAGATGCATGTTCTTTATAAAGCCAGGTGTGTCACAATCGCCAGTGTGGCACAATCTTTCGGAGGAACCTATTATTCTCGTTTGTGATTGGGTATTGCTACCCGTTTGTGTGTTTTTTTGCATGCGTTGTGAAAGAAGGTAAATCTTGTCCAGTTTATAATGTAAAACAACTATCCTGTTAGTATTTTTGTTAATACTATTTTAGAACTTGTATTTTTTTACATTGCCGTGCAGTCTGACATTTGGCACGGGTTTTCATGTGTGAGTGACTGGGGGCTTACACACATCGCTAACAGGTCACGCATACAATAAAAGTTATGCTAGAAGAGTGAGCGGAATGATAACAATAAAGCAGAGACCAGGAACCAAATGTTCTTTGGTAGATTAATGGTGACGTAAATGGCAGATGATTACTTACCTTTTGACTTCACCCGATCGGCGACAGATGGGGCAAGAAACTGAGAATCTGTTTCTTATATGCTCACAGTACCAAAGAATGCTGTGGATTTCATTTTCGCACCACACGAAATGATCATTGTCGGGCTTCGGACAAATCTCGCGTGCGGTACAGACAGTGAGTGGTGTCTGTGAGGCAACATGATAGAGGCTGAATCTCGTGATGCAACTCGTGCTTGTAAACCTTACTTGATAATACTGTGGGAATAGCATAAATTTTCACAGTGCTACAGACAGGCGATATTTTATGACCCAGCAAAATATTGGATCTCGTTTGGCAGTAACAAACTCATCGAGTGCAATAGTCAGAGCTGAGAGACAAAGTAGGATGAAATAATGAAGGAGAGTAATGTTTTTTTGGACCGCATTGAATGCAAGAAATCAATGCACTTGTTCAAACATTGATGTTTAACGATAAGGTTTTCCTTCGGCATTGTGTAACCCTGAGTCACATCTGCAGCCGTGAATTTTTGTGTCCGATGTGGTATCAAGTAAGGTAGTGAAAAGCCTAACCACTGGAAACGGAAAATGGCAAACCTCATTAAGCAAGGAATATTTGATGCGGTACCAGAGGGACTCAGGACTGTTTGGCACATTTTTCGGTTTTAATCACTATAAACCCTATTTTTCATGTTCGAGGTAACATAGCCATTGACTCCACATACAGATGGTTCATTGCTGTTTAGCGAAACAACATTTTGTCATTCTGTTAGCGTATAGTTTCCTATTACTCGGTGTGATAACATGATTTGAAGAAATTGATAAACAGATCATCTGAGCTTTTTTACTCCCTTTTCTACCCTTCCGTGACTTTTATTTAAAAAGTACTTTCGTGTTCACAAAACCCGGTTGAATTTTAGTTAGGCACAATGGGTCCAATTCATTTACACGACTCCTAGATTTCTCACAACAACCTACATATCGCCCATCTGGACCAAGTCTAAACCTTTCCTTCTCTCACACGACGCACTTCCTTTGATCGATCTCTAGGCCTGGAACTCCGAAATTTCACTCTCCAGGATGGCGACGGTGGGGTTTTCCGATCGCGGCCATTGGTCAAATTGATTATTAAATCCATTGGGCATGATGATTGTCCGTTTTCGTTCGTACCCAGAATTGACAATTCCTCATGAAAACCTCCTGTCGTAGCCTCGTTACTCACTTCACCAAAGAAAAAATCCTTCATTAAACTACTTTCATAATCGTGTGATCTGTTCGTTTGACATATAGACTAGTTTGCGTGTCTATAAATTTGTGCCAACTTTATGAATGCTTACATTGCCGGTGTTCCCCGGACAGTCAGTGAGATAAATCCATGTCCCACATTTGTCTGTGCACATGTGCATGTGTGTGTGCGCGCGGTACGAATTGTCGCAGCTATTCAAGTGGTGATCCTAAATTAAGGCCCTACCTCTCTCCCTCTCTGATTCGTCCCTGTCTGTTTGTTATTTCAATCACTCGTTAACTAGCTAGTTCAACCGGGTTCTCATTTCTGTCCTCATCATCGACCATATTTCTTACATCACGTTCTGTTCGCTCCTACAGCAATCTAATATTTTCTCTTTACCAGTTGGGTGTTTCCGTTTGAAACTCTAAGGAGGAGGAAGAGGAGATTGGTGAGGTTCAGTGTCTTTCATTCTTGCTGTTGTTATTTGTATTTGCTGGCACTACTATTTATCTATGTTTGACAGCCGATACTGGTATCTGCTTTAACTGTTAGTTCAGTGTTGGTTCAACCCTCTTCTCTTTGTGTTTCCTCTTTTATGACGCAACTGTTTTCTCCTAGTGTTAATCATGGAAACGTGATAGATGAACGTTTGTATCATAACTATTAATGGTTCTCGTTCATTCGTTGAACTGCTAAGTCATTAATGTGACATTGTTGGCCAGTTTGCATTGAAGTTGATTAAGACCCCGTATACTTTGGACAACTTTGCATTGGGATCAAAAGCCCCAACTGTCNCTCTCAAATACCTCGTTGACACTATTTCTCACGAACTTCTGTGGTCGTTACACATCGTGAATGCATTCGAAAAATCAGACATCTTTCTTATTACGTCTTATTGTCAAGACATTTATGCTGTCTAAGGCCATACCCCATTCATTAAATCGCTCTCCAGAAATCCTCGCAGATCTCCAATCAAAAGATTACTATATCTCCGATTTAATATCTCATTATTACTTTTTTTTTACTCATGCGAATTCTTTAGCCACAACACTCTGAGTCCTGTTACTCATCCGTTACGCGAACATCTCAACAGTTGCGTCTACATCTAATACCAGAAGTATACTGGCACAACCATATGTCGGTTAACAGTTAGTCAGTTTCAGTTGTACAACCATTAATCTTGCACCTTTGTGCGGCGGTTTTGGTTGCTGTCTTTGGACTGCCCGTGTATATAAATGAACAATTCCTTAGCTCGCCAGATTCGCCATACGTCGTTCTTCTCTAATGGAAAAACTGGAACGAACTGTCCTTACTGATGCAAACCTTTCCCGAGATCATATCGTGGTACTGCCGGATTTGTGTTCAGGACGATTTTGCTGCAATTCAACATGGGATGTCCGACAGTAAACTGCTGGATCAGTGTTCTGTATCTGTGCTCCTCAATTGATCTATCTATGACATTTTTATTGTTTTCATATGCACATGTATCCATGGTTTTGCCAATGGTAATTTCTTCCAATAAAAGCTAAGGTGAGAATTCGTTTTCTGTAATGAATAAATCAAATACTTCAGCCTGATTTAACATGAATCGGGGTTTTCAATTTCCATTAAAATGAGTTAGTGGAATATTTTGTACCAATCTCTCAAGTTGTATGCTAAATTGAGTTTCATTTTTTCAAAATCTTCCTTTTAAACGTTTCAACTATTCCCACTCGTCGATGCACACAAATCGAACGACGTAGTTGACTCATCTTGTATTCGGTTTATGTGTATACGACCTTCGATCTTTTTCGCCAGAGTTGCTTGTTAATTCGTTGAGATCCAAAGTACAGAAGGTAGTCCTCCTCCATTCCTCGTGTCGCTCACATCGGTCGATCGGATAGGACTAAGACTAGGACAGAACTAGGCGTCTCGTTCACACAAACTAACTAACCAATGAGCAATCGTCTCTCAAGCGGATGGTTTGTCATTTCCTTTTCGTATCACACTCGCGGACCTGCGTTAGTCAGTGTCCTTTGTGCCTACCTGTTCCGTGGTTGCCCTCATAACCAGACATCTGCTGCCCCCACTTGTACTTCATTTTGACCAACAGCTCGCGGAAGTGTTGCACAATCGGGGCGCTATACGAAATTTGCTCCGAATGGAGACGTCCGTGGATGAGGTCACACGTCAGAGTTTGTTAGACTGGTGTCGTACCGCAACTGCAGGTTATCCCGGAGTGTTTGTTCGTGACTTTACCGACTCGTGGCGCGATGGACGTGCGTTTCTTGCGCTGATTCATCGATACAAGTAAGTCATGATTACCGGTCGTCGGGGTTCCCTCTTTTCCCCATCATAGTCTATCCAAATGGGGTCTGGACGCGTAATTGCATTTAAACTACCAAGAGAATAAGTACATAATGTTGCCAGCAGGCACTTGGTGAGTATGTGCAGCTTATCAGTCACTGTCTGTTATGGGAGTGCTTTGGGCTTGGTTACACTTTGATTAGTTAGTAACATCTGTTCATTCTGTGCATGTTCTATATAGCACTGTGTGAACATTCTTGTCATCAGTATTTTGTTAACCTGGTTGAACGTTCTTTTAGTAATGTAGTCTTCCAAAATTTATGTAGAGCCCTGAAGTCCCAAGCTCTCACACGGTTACAGACTATCCTTTTAATTGTTCAAATTGTGGTTTGGCAGATTTGAAGTTTATATGGCGATTGTGAAAAGTTCAGTAGCCTCGGTGGGATTCGAACCCACGCATGGACGCCGCCTATGCTTTGTACGCGCACGCTCTACCAGCTGAGCTACGAGGCGACACCGATAACACTGCGTGGGTTCGCATCCCACCGAGGCTACTGAACTTTTGATAATCGCCGTACAAATATCCTTTTATTGTTTCTTATCTGTGAATTCCTTGGGATGCTACATCGAGCAGTTTCTTTTCCCGTTCACCGTATTGATGTCCATTAATGGTTCGCTTTGCTTTGAAAGCGATGATGCTGTTAAATGAGCAAATTACCGTAGATCTAGATGGTTACTCAGTTTCGGACTGATGCGTGCATCACGAACGGTTTTTAAAAGGGGGCAGGGTTCGACCATATGACTTCACAGAATACTGAATAGTTCCAATGATGACTTAGACCGACGCCTCCACTCTCGGTTCGATAGATTCATCATTCGTCAGCAATTGATGTCTCAAGTTGGGTTGTCGTGAGTCGATTCAATGAACCCAATTGACATCCTCGCCAGGTCATTGTTGTGCAGCCAGCAATTGTTTGATTCAATAATCTTGGATTAACGATTTTATTTTTTCAAGTTTATTTTGGATCTTTCGCAATTGTTTTATTTTTCTCTTGTGGTTAACCTTTAGAACAGGCCAAATATGGGTTTCACAAGCTTGGCTGCTGTCCGCATTTGCCATGGGATAATGGAAATGTGCTTCATTCCGAAATGTAACAATACTTTTGGTCGTTACGTTACTCCGCAATGACTAGTCATCTAATAATCTTCTCGGAGCTGTGCTCAACACAGTGGATGCCATCTTTACAAGTAGTCATATTTTACAAGATGAATGTTTTTATTCGGAAAACACGATTACTCTTCCTGTATATACGGTTTATGCCGTTAATTTTGAAATCATACGTATATTCCGAATTTGTTCGCGATCATAGGTAACCGATCACGCTGATGTTATCCGGAAAATATGCCCCTTCTACCATGCTCAGTTCGCGTTCTTTGTTCTCTCAATTCTGTATTAGTCTAAATGACGAGTAAGTAGCAGGTTTGGAGGGTTAGACTTGACCCATTAAACTAATTACTATCCGGTATTGAGATGTTCTACACCACAATTCCTCCACCATAAAGCCATTGCACTTGGTAGCGGTTACTTCTTTTTCTAATCCGATTCATATCCCTATAAATCTTCCGTTATGCTCCTGCTCATACTCAGTTCCCCAAATATTCACTTCCGTTAACATTGTCGGTTCTATTTACTTATCTTTTCGATGATCACAGACCCCGACTAATCGATTTTCGGCGCGTTGATGCTCAAACAGCAAAGCAGAATATTGAATGGGCGTTCTCATTGGCTGAACTCGAATTACATGTGGCTCGACTTTTTGATTCAGAAGGTGAGTTTGTTTGACCGTCAGGTAACTTTCACAAACTTACTCTTTGGCTGTTTTTATTCATTATTATTTTATCTGGTTAGGTGTTTTACGATACTTGCGTTAGCAGGCTATGACTTTCATGTCCTGTGCTGTACTATTAAACAGGTTCAAAATGGTCTTATTCACAACCAGAAAGTTCACCTGCATTAGCTCGGACAACCTGGAATTATTACACCCAAGAACAAATCAATGGTTTTTTCTTTTTATCGGATTTGTTTTACCGTGACTTGCTTGATGCAGTTAGACAAGCATGAAATATGATAATCATACTACTACTAGTAGTACTAATTGCCATAAACACCGAGAATTTGACTCTATCGTTGTCTGTTCACTTGCTCCACTTCTCCCGGTTCTATTTTGCATGCTTTCATTCTGAGCACAATAATTGACCTAGAAACTGACTAAGTGTAGTGTTATGTTGAATGACTTTCACACTTCTCATATATGCAGAATCTGTTAACGCCCGCGGTGGAAAGTAAACACTCACTTGTTGGTCACATGAGTCACAGAGCAATTATGTTTCCTCTTACTGATTTGCAGTGAGCGGTATATTGAAACTACCTTGCAGTTTACCCACTATTAGCAGATGTCTGGTATTCAGTACGACATACGTTTGTCGGTGCGTGACAGGATTATTTTGGGTGTTGTTGTAAACAATGATGCTGCATCTTGGAACCTCTNGCATCTTGGAACCTCTTTCCTCACCGTGTAGACTATTTACTGAGACAATTCCGTCTACATAAGAGTACTCGTTAGTTTTATATTACAGTTGAGTCATCAGATTCTTTTGAATATGTTGATTTTTTTCCTTTCCGTGTGGTTAGTTTTCCGTCAGTTTTTTCATATTTTAAAGGATGTGCTTTTTTACTTGTAATTTCGTATCTAATATAACCAACAACCCATCTTTCTGATTCTTCAGTTTTGGTTCATTCGCCTGTACGCGCGCATGCAATTGTCGTTTTTGATTTTGTCTGTAAGAATTCGGTGACGTCAATCATCTTCAACGCATGTTGGTTTTTTTCTTTCCGCCATTTCAGATGTTTCTGCTTTTTCTGATGAAAAGTCTATAATGACCTACGTTGCTTCATTGTACGAGGCTCTTGCGGGCGAGAACCCCATTGTTCCTCCCATGCCTTCTTTGTACGGTGAGGCCATATCGAGTACAGCGGCACAGATGGCCGGTGTTACGAGTGAAGCTTCCAAACAGCTTCAGTCCCGCTGGTCGGAATATCGCGCACTGGCATCTGATCTCGCTCAGTGGCTTCGTTCGACTGCTGATCGAATGGCTTCTCGACATTTTCCTCCAGACCTAGAAAGCATGCAGCATCGGATATTGGACGAATTAAAGCGACATCGTCGAGACGAACGACCGCGGCGCGAACGTGAGCGCCAACAATTGGTTCGTATGTTCGAAGAATTAAAGGTAAATTCCTTTAACCGGTGTATTTTTTCCGTGTTCTATGTTTTATCTGATCACCAGCCTTCCCAATCCATGTCTACACCACAGTGTGATCAAGGCAACTTTCCGACACCTTATTTTGTATATCTTAAAGAAGCTTTTAATGCTTTATTCTCGATTATAAAATTATAACTTCGGATTAAATATTTCGCTATTTATACATGTCTGTGTATATACGAATTTCACACAGGTCTGAGTTCAGATTGTTTAAAACAAATGAAATTACGAAAGTATTTATGGAAAAATTCCATGATTTGCCTGCGGACGGAATACTACCACGTTGCTTTGACTAAGGCAGGTGAATCTTTTTGGGTAATTCACAACCGTAGTCTTCGGCCAGGCAAAGCCTTCCCCGCAAGGCAGCGGAGTGGTGTCAGATAACCGCAATCGATTGGGAGCCGGTATCCAGTTCATCGGATCATATGCCCCTTGAACAGGGTCAAATGTGCAAGGTGCCCAACCGAGGCGGTGACCACTACCGCGACCAGGAAGGCGTGTACGTGGTTCGTACGCCTCTTGTTTGGTTTGGAATAAGGGTTTTTAGACAGATATTGGCTTTTCGTTCGGTCATTTTGGTGGGAAAACATCTCTGCCCTGGGAAGGCAGTATGTAGGGCTTCCACAGCAAAGGCTGTTTGAGTTTCCGTCAGTTTTTACAACCATTAACCATGCATTTTAATGCGCCGGCTTTGGTTGCTGTCTTTCGGCTATTGGAAGCATTGTCTTACAGGAGCTTTTCACAAGATGCAAGAGAGGAGTGACCTGCCACAACTCGAGACACCCGTCCCCGACCATACTGAGGCTTTTGGAGGCTGGATCCTGCAGATAGCATAATACAGTGATAGAAGTTATTCAAATATCCTTTTATCGGCTCCGTTGGTCCATTCAGCTGCACTCGGTTTGTACCCTAATTTTCTCCTGCATGCACTTCCGTCCCTTTATGTAAAACTTACTTATAGAACCATTTGCCTTTGAAACTCGACTTTCATCATTACACATTTTCCTTGCCAGACAGAAATGCACAGTATGTTTTGTATGAATCTCTTCATGTTAGGCAAGACCCATGATACTAGTTTTCTGCGCTCATTTTGTTGGAACCGCATTGCTTACTCATTTATGGCTCCTTGCAAGAATAGTCGAGTCTGACACTCGTGATTCCTGTCTCGTTCCAGCCTGCTCTGCATTCCGGACAGTTGCCAAACGATCCATTTCTGTCGATCGACCAAATTCACCGTCTTTGGGGTGAGTATGATGTAGCTCTGCAAGAACGAGAAATGGCCGCTCGCAGCGAGACGAATCGTTTGGATAGACTTCAGTGGGCTGGTGATCGTGTGGTCCGCGAGTGTAAGGCGGTCGATGCTCAACTCACCGGATTGGAACGTCATTTACACGAGGTATACTTTAGCTTTGAACTGCATCGTGTAGTAGTGGTTATATTTTGACTCCTCTACTACTCAGATTAGAATGTAGCGTCTGAATCAGTTTATTTAAGTGATAACAATCAAAGTACGTGGAGTGTTTAATACGTGCTATTTTCTGGTCACTCAGTGTCTGTTGAAGTTATCTCGTTAACTTTCGTCCAACAAATCAGGGCATGAAAACGCTCTAGACAGAGAGATCAGCTTAAAGTCAGCGGGCAGAATACAATGGGGTTGCGCAAACCTCTTTTGACGAGTTTCTTGAGATACACAACCTTCAACTTTCAGTATCTTGTTCCGCAACCGGACGGTGTGTGAAAACCGCGGTTCATTGGGAGCTGGAGTCGGTTCACAGGGATCACACGCCCTTTGGGCCCTGTTCACATATCCAGGGTGTTCAATGCATCCATTTGATTCAGTGACTATCGCGACAGAATGTTTTGGATTCAGTTTGTAGACCTTTTGGGGAATTTTTGGCACCCCGATGTTGCGTTTCCTCTAGTTAAGCTAACTGCTCGTGGCTCATCGACTGGGTTATACCCCCGGTTATTGAATTTTGGCCCTTCCGCTGATGAAAAGACCCTCATTGCGAGAAGGCAATTGGTTGGACTTTAAGGGCATTACTGCTTTCCCGCGTTTCTTTAGACGAAAACGAGGCTTCGTCTATCCTCAGAGTGACTAGAACTTCTTGACGTATAAACTGGGTTCGGTACAGTGAAAGTCCAAACCGATATATGGTACGTTGCCAAATCGGACCACCTTCGTTTTCGGAATGAACCCCCGTGACTTACTGATATGAACCATCTGAAAATTGGAGTTTTTCAGTTTCAGTTTGAATAACCATTAACCATGCACTTTCGTGCGCCGGTTTTGGTTGCTGTCTTTTGGCTGCCCATTGGGATGAAGAATAGGATAAGAAAGTTGAAAGTAGAGTCGAATAGAAAATGGGGAAGTTCAGTGATCTCAGGTTGCCAAGAAATTGAGAAGATGCACAAACGGCACTGTTTACGACACCCAGCCATATCACTCAGTGTCTCTAACCATCGGTTACGATCATCCCGAGGTCCCCAACCAGGGAGCCTAACAGGACCTATGTGACCAAGTCTCCTGGTTAGGGTTTTCGTACCCTCGTGCCAGGTCTTAGCTTGACCACCCTTGGCTTTATTCCACCCATTACCTGTCTCGGCAAAAATCGCTTGCTGTGGCAACCTATTTGACGACATGCGTAACACGCCTCAACCGACGTAATCTGTGGAGGTCGACTACCTGCTCTAGTGGGCGACCGCAGTTGGTTAATCGTTACTGCAGTTCTTTAGAACATCAGTCCAACGTGGATTTTTTTACCCACTTACATATTGTCTCATCCAGACCTAATATAACTATGCTACTTTGACCCCATTCATTGTCCTTGTCGACACACACACAGTTCATATCACAATTTCGATGACTTTCTTGTTGTAGACTTCCTCTGGTTTGGACGCAAGTAGAAGATTCGGGATACACTTGGATCGATGGGCGGAACAGTTGGGCGTGGTTGAAACTCGTATCAATGGCTTGTTCAATCAGGTTCAACATCTGCGCAGCGGACGGTATACTCAAACAGACCAAATTTATCGCGAGTAAGTGCTCTTCTCCATTTAACACACACAACAGTTTCAACTCTCGCTCTCTCATGCGCGCACCCGTGATCGATTGTAATTCATCTAGCTTCCGAACTGAGATCTCGTTTTCCTAGTTTTACCAGCACGGACGTTTATAACGTATGTCCGTTCATCAGACAACAGATGCATCTCTTCTCATCCACATATTTTTCGTCGATTGATTTATGTTTTGCAAATCTGTCTGCGTATGTCGTAAAAAACGGGTGCATAAGCGTTCTTCCTACACCAAGTGCTTCAATGCACTAACATGTATTTTTCAGCCTTATAGGTCTGTCCTCATTAGCCATAGATTTGGTCGATGAATCCATCCCGCTATCCAATACTTACATGTCCCTCTACCGCCGAAGTGCTTTTTTGTGAACAAGAACACGTTTTTGAGCATTTTAAAACCTCGTCTTACAATGATCTCATCTGAAAATAACAAATCATTCATAAAAGATCCATGACAGCAAATTGTTTGGGGTCCAGTAGCTGACGTTCAGAATTAACATGCTGAACTTGAAAATCAGACCTGTTGATAGCGTTACGTGTAGGAGGGCTTTCAAAGCTGGGAACACTAACTGGGTGACAAGTGGACTTATGTGTTTAGACTTCTTGGCTCCTGAATATTGGTTTTGTTATTCAAAGATTGGTTCGGTTTTGAATTGCAACTACCATTAACCATACACTTTCGTGCGGTTGGTTTAGTTGTTGTCTCTTGGCTGCCCATTTGTTTGAAAGAATAGAGGGAAGATTAAAATGTTCAAAAAGTGTCAAAGTGAATGTAGAGAATCCCGGTTACGAAGCGGCTGAGATGATCGAGTGTCACTGTTTTCGACGCAACCGTATCGCAGATTCCTATGAGCGTTCAATAGTTATTTACACGGATCATTATCAACTGGGCTTCGGGTTGAGGTATTATTCTTTTCTGCTTGTCCATCCAATGAGTTCGAAGTCCCTATTCTACTGTTTCTGTTCGACTTCTAAATTTAGTCCATTTTCAATGGAATGTGTCTTCAAGAACCTTTTACCCTCAGTTCAGCTCTATTATTCGATTCGAAGCCTAGCCTAAAGCGTTGTATTATTTATTCACACAGTGTTGTTTGTCTGCGATAGCCGCTGTTGTCACCATCATCTACTGCGGACCGTGTTTCACTGTTTTTTCTCTGTATAGCGTCTGCACATTGCATCAACGTTTATTGGACCTTCAGCGCCGTTTCCGCAATCGCGTACAAACAAACGGATTTCACAGCACCATAACATCAATCACAGCGACTCCGGCATCGGTGGTGGGTCGTGTAGTTTCACCCGGTTCCCGATTAGTTCATGACCAGACAGATGAACGCTACGAATTTCTCACACCTATTCAACGTTGTCTGAAGTGGATTGAAGAACATCTGGTTGCAGTGGAGGAGGCGAGCTATGGGACTAATTGGAAAAGTGAGTTTGTGCATGAACGATATTTACTTCCATGTGTTGCCAAATAGGAATCCTCTTTGTATCTGCCCTCATTCGTTTACTCACTCGATGCACTTTTACCTGATCAGGCTCCACTGTCCAACATGTTCGCTTGTTACTTTGGACCGATAATGATCCACTCTCATATATTTGTTGATTGATACTCTTTTCAGCTCAAATTAAGATGTGCCATCAGTGTTTTGCGAGCTGATCCATGTAAACAAATTACTGCAATTTTCGGAAACTATTTAAAGAAGTTCAG